TATACATACATTCCAGAAAATGTCTTCAACTAAATTTTATTGAGGCTCCGTATCAACTAAGTCTAACAAGATGTCAAAACTGTAAACATGCCAGGTGTGGTAGTACACGCCTGGCACTTGATAGGCAGGCGGATCTCTGTGAGATCCCTGGCTAGCCTGGTCTACATAGCGAGTTTCAGACCAGCTGGAGCTAAAGGGAGACCCTGTCTCAAAAAAAAAACAAAAACAAAAACAAAAAAAAAAGGAAAAATAAAAATCTACATTTGGGGCTGGAGAGATGGCTCAGCAGTTAAGAGCACTGGATGCCCCTACATAGGACTGGTTAACAACTGTCCTTAACACCAGTTCCAGGAGATGACACCATCTCCTGACCTCTGTGGGCACTGCACAACATGGGTACCCTTACATACATGCAGGCAATACAATCGTACACATAAATAAGAATGACAATTTAAAAAAAAAAACTGTAAACACAAAGTCCACTGTCAAAAAAAGGAAATTACTAATGAAAAATTTAAATGTGCATATACTGAGGTTTTATCAAATGAAAGCTAGATTCAGGCAACCTACAATTTTGCACTTATCTGAGCATCTATTAAATAAAAAGAGCTTAGTTCCATGGAATAAATGGTATTTGACACAAAGGTTAAGCAAGTAAGTTAAACAAATGTAGGCTGATCTGAAAATCTTTAAATGCCTCCAAATCTGAAAATCTGAGTGCTGGCAGCATTTTCAACTGGAGAAGTTTATTTATACCCCAAACTAAAGATCAAAATTAGGAACACTTCTCATCCCAAGCATTGTTCTGGATAAGGGATGCTCAACCTGGATGTTTTCACTATTCAAAACCTTGACATTGCTAAGTATTTTGCAGCATTCAAATGACTTAAAAGGTCACTTTTAAATATATACTTATATATGAAGTGCAAGCTGTCACACCATATTCAAATGAGTACATGGTAAATATTTACAAAGGCAGCAGTTACAGAACAAGGGACATAAAGTAGCACTTGCAGAATAAGCAAATTTCTCACGTGAAAAAATATTTATGTTCATTCTCCAAACAAAACAACACCCCCAAAACCCAAACCAAACAACAACAACAACAAAAATCAAACCTCACATGGCATTAAGTGTGATAGCACTAGGTTTTAACATAAGAATTATGCTCCTTAGATATCCCAGAAAGTTACAACTTAGGGGAAAAAAATCTGGCTAATTAAAAAGCATCCAAGAGAACTGCATTTTTAGACTAAAGCAATCAAGCAGATGACCAAGGGGGCTCTAGTCTGCTTGACAAACTATAAGAACCATCCTGCCCTTTACATTTCAGACATAAGAAGCTTGTAACATCTGCATAAGACTAAGCATGCCTCTTGTTACCCACATGTGGTCCTGAACTCAATAGCGTAACCTTTCCTCAGTCTACAAAATTCAGTCCGATACAGGAAAACAAACTGCTCAATTCTCAGACATTCGTTTTACCATGCACTCAACTGTATCAAAATGCTTAGTTATGCTATAGTGGAATTAGCATCTTCTTATCACTTCTCCCATTTGACTCCAAGGCTGTTTATCCCTTGACCAGAAAATAGTCTAGCCTGTGCTAGATACACAAAAGATAATTCTTTTAAATTAAAAAAATTCACTTGTGTGTGCATATGTGGGGGGAAAGAGTATATATGTTTGTGCGTGTTGTGTGCACATGCATGTGTGTGTATAGGCCAGTAGTTGATACTGGGTTTTTTCCTTAACTGATATCCACCTTTTGGAGACAGGGTCTTTCACTAAACTTTCAGCTTGCTGATTTGGCTAGGCTGGCCAGCCAATGAGCTACACGGATCTTCCTGTGTCCCACCCCGTACTCCAGTGCTGGGGTGACAGACATGTGCTACTATGCCCAGCTTTTTATGTGAGTGCTAGAGATCCAAACTCAGGTCCTCAAACTTGTATGGTAGGAAACTTACTGACTAAGCCATCTTTCCAACACCCCAGGAAAGATAATTCTTAAAAGAAAAACACAGAACTGAAGAAATTCCAGAAACCATTCCTATCAAAAATCAATTTAACACAACAAATATCTGAGAATCTGTAAGTGGGCTCAAACTGTGGACACCCAATAAAAGATAAAGCCTCTGCCTATGAATAAACATACTTTACCATGCACCACACAAAATACCCCCAGTATAGGCTTGGGAGTCAAACTTTACTTTTCTTTCCATTTTACTCCCACATAAGAAATTAAAGTTCTGTGACTTTCATCTTAATCTGAAATGTAACTACTCTCTTCTCTCAACTGACTATGATATATGCTTCTATGATGGGAATCGTTCAAACATGATTAGAAAAAAGGGGAGTATGAGAAAAAAAGGTCATACTGGTTTATGTGGAATTTTCCCAGTATATTAATGTTTTGTGCCACAAGTAACTGCAGCTGAATGTAAAATATGCTAATGGCTAAATGAAATAAAAACTCGTCTCTAAAAGGAAAAAGGGGAGGGGAACCCCTGAATACTTTGACTAAGTGAGTCAAAGTATTTGACCGTTTTACCATTTAAAATACATTTACCATATTAAAAAACAAAGGAAAAGAACTCCATTTCAGTAGATACGCTGAAAAGCTACTGGGAAAAAAAATTCCATTAATGACACAAAAACAAAAAACAAAGCCAGTTATGGCAGCACAGGCCTGTAATTCTTAACACTTGAGAAACTGAGGCAGGAGGATTATGATTTTAAGACTAACCTGGACTATGTTATTTGTTCCAGGCCAGCCTGGGCTATAGGATGAGATCCTATCTTAAAATAAATAAACACAACTCAGCAAACTAAAAATGCAAAGAACAAGAATTTTAAAGCAATCATATTTATTTTAAGGCCTTTATCACAATGAATGCAAAAATAAATCTCAGAAAAAATGAACCACTGACACTCTCAAAGTAAAAAACTGCAATACCCAATATAACTTTAAAAAGAAGAAATTCTTCCCAGTTTCCCATATTTTTTCTATGGTAGTGTTTATAGACATTGTATGATAGCTTAAAGAAATATAAAATGGTCAAATATCTATGGAACATAAAAATATGGAGTACAGAAATTGATGTTTTCTTAATTTTTGCATGCAATCTTCCATTTAATTTGTCTTCCATTTAATCTACTTAATTTTAAAATTTCTAGTAAAACAAAATTTTACATGCTTTTTTACTTTCTCTTGTTCAAATACATCTTTATTTAAAATAATTGTTATTTTTGAATTGTATTTTTTACATGCTTTATAAAAAAGGCTTAATGCAGGATGAAACTGAAGGATGTTTAGTAAAGCTAGAAGACACTTTCTCTAGATCTCACAACGTGGAAATCATAAACTTAATCTGACTCTACAAATAATTTAACACGTTTTATCATTTTAAAAAAATTGAAAAACTTAGCTGGCTAAAAATAGAATGTCTAGAGGGGCAGAGAGATGGGGACCAGAGCCTAGAGTTTACCACCACCTAACATTACATGGCCTTAGTTAACTATTCTTTCTATCTGTGGAATATCTGAAAGCTATCACAGGGTCATTGTATAGATTCAGTAAGAAAATTACTATCAGCCAGAACTGATACAATGCTTTAGGAAGGTATTTAGGTCAACATTCCTAAATTTCTATTCTCTAGTTTGAGACAGGGTTTCACATTGAAGCCCAGTCTAGCTTGGAACTCACTATGTACCCAAGTTGACCCTGAATTTGTGGCAGTCCTCCAGCCTCAGTCTCTAGACTATGCATGTGTCCAACCATACCTAGCCTGAAATCTATTCTTTATGGGTATGAAGGAAATTTAAGGTTACTTAAGTTTGGGAAACTCTGGTTTCTTTATTTCAGGGCTTCTTAGTCTTCAATATATGAATGAAACAGTGAGTTTCCAGAAGGGAAACACAGTATTTTTTTTTCAAATTTATTATTTTTATTTTATGTATATGCGTGTATTGCCTGCATGTAGGTAAGTGCACCTGTGTCGTGTAATGCTCGTGGACGTCAGAAGAGGCTGTTGGATCCCCTGGAACTGGAGTTATGGACAGTTGTTAGCGGCTATGTGGGTGTGGGGATTCAAACCTGGGTCCTCTGCAAGAACAACCAGTGTTCTTAACCGTTGAGCCATCTCTCCAGCCCCATGGGAAACACAGTATTTAACACTACTAAAACTTACTGGATGGTGGTACTCTTATTTTCATTGAGTATCTCAAGGAAACTGATATGTTCCACTGAAATAAAAGTTCAGAGACTATAAACTAGACACCAAGAAAATATGTGTGTTAATATTTCCTTGCTCCAATAGATCAATCTAATAGTATTTTTATATGTATAAAAATGAAGCTAAGGGCTGGAGAGATGGCTCAGTGGTTAAGAAAATTGATTGTTCTTACAGAAGACCCAGGTTTGAATCCCAGCACCCACATGGCAGCTAACAACTGTCTGTAACTCCAGTCCCAGGGGATCCGACAGCCTCTTCTGACCTCTGTGTGAAACACGGGTGCACTTACCTACATGCTGGCAATACATACATACACATAAAATAAAAATAATAAATAAAATTAAAAAAAATGAAGCTAGTAAGAATGAAGTCATTCTGTATGACTGGCTAATGCAGGTGTTCGAATGGAGACTGCTGCAGCAAAGAAATGCTTATTAGCCATAAAAGACAGAATCCAATATTTTATGTTTGAGGAATACAGATATATTAATTTGTATGTGTGCATATATGCTGACAAGCAGAGAATAGTGGGAAGATGAAACAAGCTCATGCTCTGAATAATGGGACTGAAGTAATCCTGTAATCCTCTCAATAAATTTCCTTTTTATATATAACTTTTTCATTTAGTTTAACTTTTAGAGTATTATACACAGCAAATAAAAAAGTGGTTATCTATAGAGAGGCATGAAGGTAAGAATCTTGTTAAAAACTATTTTAATATTTATCTTTTACATTTCTTGATAATCAGTGATATTTAAATTACAGGACCATTCAAAGACTGTCAGCAAGCAAAAGAAGCTGGGCATTCAGTCAGTGGAATTTACATGATTAAACCTGAAAACAGCAATGGACCAATGCAGTTATGGTGTGAAAACAGTTTGGATCCTGGGGGTTGGACTGTTATTCAGAAAAGAACAGATGGCTCTGTCAATTTCTTCAGAAACTGGGACAATTATAAGGTAAATGAGTAAGTTCAGATGTGGGTAGGTAGACTCAAGTAGCCTTTTAAATACTGGCCATGCTATGCAGTCAAAACATGCAGCTAAAAAAACAAAGCTATCCATGTGATTTCCACCATCCAGCAAAAAGTTCATTCTTGCCTTTAGTTTTAAGTTCAAAGTTAAAATCCTAAAAGGAAACTATGATATACTTTAACATGCTGCCTTTCACTCTGGGTGACATACATACATGTACATTTGCAAAGACAACTCAATTCTACTTTAAATACAACTACTTTTTGTTTATAGTCACATGTATAATTTAAAATGTATTTAAGCAATAACAAAGCACAAGATATTAAAAAAATGACCTCTTTCTTGGATAAAATACCTTTAATAATCATGTTTTAAGTCTACGACATGATACATGCTATAGGGATATGAATACAACTAGATTTCCGTATAGTTGTGATGTCAACTTGAGAAAGGTTAACAACTGGTCTTTTAGTAATTCTGATGGTCACAATGGTAAACTTTTGAGTGGTGTCTGTGTGTGTGCACATGAATGTAGTGTATATGGTGACTTTCAAAGGGAAACACAGTATTTAACACAACTAAAACTTACTGGATGGTGTTACTCCATTTTCATTGAGTATCTCAAGGAAACTGGTGTGTTCCATGATACGCCATCAGTTTAAGGACAGCAGACGGGAAAGGAGACTTTCTAGATGGCTAATTTCTCACTCAAAACTGTGTAGTAATATGTGATTACTTACTCTTACATAATATTTTACTGGCAGTAAAGGATAAGACATTAATATATATCCATGTCAGAAATGATGCAATTTTCTAAACATGTAACTAGCACAAATGAAAGGGGGAAAAATTTCCCAACAATCTTTCATTGTGACCATCAGAATTACCTTGAACGTGCCTGATCTTCTCTAAAGTATTAAGATGGGGGCTGGAGAGATGGCTCAGTGGTTAAGAGCACTGACTGCTCTTGCAGAGGACCCGGGTTCGATTCCCAGCACCCACATGGCGGCAACGAACCGTCCTTAACTCCAATTCCAGGGGAATATGAAGCCCTTTTCTGACCTCCGCGGCACTGCACAACACGGATGCACTCACATACATGCAGTAAATACACTCATACACATAAAATAAAAATAATAAATAAAATAAAAAAAGATGGGGTTTACTAAATCTGTTTTGCTACGTACTTCTAGTGTCAAATGCTTACTAAAATAAGATAGAATAAGATAGTTTTTTTTTTACATATTAATCAGGGTGAACTTTAAAGATTACTATTGTATCTTCTCATATTTATTTTTACTCATAATAAAATTAAAGAGAATTTGCTCTAACACACATGCTTTCATTTTGATTGAATGACTAATTTTAGACATTTTCTATTTGCCTAACACAGAGACAGAATACAAATACTTTTAAAAAATGGCTCTTTGAATGAGGACCTTTCTGAAGGATATAGGTAGTTTCAATTAATGTAATAAATTTTGTTATCTTTTGCCTTAGTCTTATTACAGCACTTGAATCTAGCTACATAAATTAATGTTGGCATATTAAAATAAAGCAAAGCAAAAGAAAGTTATGATACGGAACACAAATGACCTTGGAGAAATCAGGCTCTCTACCATGGAAGATCACATTACCTCTTAAAAGGATAGCATCATCATGCTACTGAATTTTTAAAGCTTACCTATGATCTCTACACTCACTATGCATTCCTGTTTCTTTTGTATATTAATAGAAAGGGTTTGGAAACATTGATGGAGAGTACTGGCTTGGACTGGAAAATATCTATATGCTTAGTAATCAAGATAATTATAAGCTGCTGATTGAATTAGAAGACTGGAGTGATAAAAAGGTCTATGCGGAATATAGTAGCTTTCGTCTAGAACCTGAAAGTGAATTCTACAGACTGCGCTTAGGAACTTACCAGGGAAATGCAGGGGATTCTATGATGTGGCATAATGGTAAACAATTTACCACACTGGACAGAGATAAAGACATGTATTCAGGTAAGAAAAATAGTATCTCTGTGAAATCCTCACTTTCTATGCATTGAATAAAGCCTAGTTATTAAAGTGTAAGTATATGCTACTCAAATCTCTGAAGAGTTATCTTGGACACAGTCAAAGGAAATATAACATGATCGAGCTTTTAGGATTTTTAAGGCAGCCCGAACATATGGTATTTAGGAAGAATGAAGTTCTAGAACAAAACAAAGCAAAACAAAACCAAGCTACATCCATTTGGAAATAAAACTCTGCCTAAAATTCATATATTAGATGGATGCCTACCATACATCAAAAACTGCAGGTGCTGGTGCTGGAGAGATGGCTATGTGCTTAAGAGCACTGGCTGCTCTTGTAGAAAACCAAGGTTCAGTTCCCAGCACCTACATGGTGGCTAACAGCCACCTGTAACTCCAGTTTCAGGTAATTTGAATCCCTCTTCTGACTTCCATGGGGCATTCTGCAACACTGGTGCACTTACATACATGCTGACAGTACACTCATACACATAAAATAAAAAGTAAATGTTTTTTTTTCAAACTGTAGGTGCTGGAAATTCAGTAGTGAAACAAACTTCTGCTCTTTGGAGGTTACCCCCAAGAAGAAAAGACAAAATAATATATTAGGTGGTGACAGATACTCTTAAAAAAAAAAAAAAAAAACAAACCAAATAAGGTGCCTCAGTTCATTTTCCTGTTACAATCATTAAAATACTCTGACAAAAGCAACTTAGCATGGGGAAGGGAAGGGTTTAAAGGATTTATTTTGGCTTAAGTTTATTATAGTAAGGAAGTCACAGCATCAGGAGCTGAAGGGAGTCTTACATCACAGCTGTATCAGGAACATAAAGCAATGAATGCATATGGCCAATGCTCAGCTTGTTTTCCCCACTCAGGCAATTAAGAACCCTCTGTCTAAGGAATGGTGCCACCCACAGTGGACAGCTCTTCCTACCTCTGTTAACATAATCAAAATAATCCCACATACACTGTCTGCAATCTAACCCTCAATGTCACACCCTTCTCAGGTGATTCTAGGTTGTGTCAAGTTGACAATTAACACTACCACATAAGGGAATAGAACATGGTCGTTATTAGGGTCTTGGGTGAGTGTTGTTTAATATAAGTTGGCTGGGAAAGGTTCTTATGAGAAGGCATCATTTGAATAAAGACATACGGGAACTAAAAGGGGCAAACTATTTGGATACATGAAAAGGTATTTCTTAGATTTTGAAATGCGCCATAGTGATCCATATAATTTTATATTTAATTCTCCTATACTGTTGACCTTTTAACCCAGGTTTCTGCAGTAATAAAGAGATCCCTACTAAGAAAACTGATTTTTTTTTTTTCTGTTCAGCTATTACCTTAGCAAGTGGCAGAAAAGTCTCTATTTTAACTTATTTTACACTGGCAAGAGGGAGAAGAGAGCTGTGGCTGTAACACATGATTTTTGTTTACAGACTCATTTAATAACTGGTTGGAAGATTTAAGTTTTTATTAAAAATTTTAAAATTTATCTATTTTATGTGTTTGAGAGTTTTGCCTGCTTGTATATAAGTGCAGCACATACATACAATGTCCACAGAGGTGAGAAGAAATCATTGGATCCTCTGAAACTGGAGTTAAGCTATTGTTAGCTCCCATGTGGGTGCTGGGAAGCAAACCCAGTCCTGTATGAGAGCAGGCAGTGCTCTTAACCCCTGAGCCATCTCTCTAGCCCCTGGTTGGGCTGTTTTAAGAATTCAATTTTCTTTCAAGTTCTACACTTCTTTGCAAACTCTGTATCTTTCCTTTCTCTTTCTCTGTGTATTTCTCACATATAAACACTACATTTTATTTACCTTATTGTCTGAAAAGTAAATCATTTTGTGTGTGTGTGTGTGTGTATAATAATTAAACAGGCAAAAAGTAAAATGAAAAAGGATCTTGATACAATAAGAACAGAATAAATGAAAGAAAACTGAGATAAGATACTGAAATCAGTAAGAGAAGCTCAACTTAAATTGTTTCAAAGGCAGAACAAGTTCTTGACAGTTTGCAAAATAACATATTTAGGCTGGGCATGGTGGCGCATTCCTTTAATCCCAGCACCCGGGAGGCAGAGGCAGGTGAGCTCAAGGCCAGCCTGGTCTACATAGTGAGTTCCAGGACAGCTGGGGCTACAGGGAGACCCTGTCTCAAAAAGACAAAAAAAAAAAAAAAAAAAAAAAAAAAAATTAGGTGGTAAATTTATTTTGATATCTGTATTTTTTTTTCCTCCTTATAGGAAATTGTGCCCACTTTCATAAAGGAGGCTGGTGGTACAATGCCTGTGCACATTCTAACCTAAATGGAGTATGGTACAGAGGAGGTCATTACAGAAGCAAGCACCAAGATGGAATTTTCTGGGCTGAGTACAGAGGCGGGTCCTACTCATTGCGAGCAGTTCAGATGATGATCAAGCCTATTGACTGAAGTCAGTCAGTCTCGAATTTACATGACACAGATTCTGCTTTTCAGTTCTCCCAAATGTAAATGTCACACATTTGTTACTTTGCACAATTTATTTTTAGATACAGTTTGCAAAACAAATTTTACCATAACTATAAGAAGGGATCTATGAATATTGTCTCATCTTCCTTTAATATACTATAGATTATTTGTTTGCATATCTTTGTTACTTTAAAAATTATATTGACTGAATATAGGTAAATGTAAATATATGCCACAACGTAAAACAAATCTTATTTTAAATCAAATCTGAATACATGCTCAAGATACTTTAAGATTTATTTAAAAACTATGAGACTGCTCTAACTTCCAATGAAAAAATAATTTTAAGACTTCAGGCAAATAATTCATTTTATTTATGAAAGTACAGACAGGAAATTAGAGAAAATCTCTAGTTTTGCCCTTGAAAATAATTTTTCCACTGAATAAAAATTTAAATAAAATTTCACATTTGTGCTTTTCATATGTAATGATTTTTCTCTAAATAATTAGGACAAAAGGTATGCAAATACATATCATTTAAAAATGCATAAATAACACATACATTATGTAAATGAAAAATGCATAAAAATAAATGAATTTATTAATATTCATGACATAGTACCAAAATCTCCTGACAAGAATTTTATGTAGTGATAAAATCAGTATGATACTGGTATTACAAAATGGTGACTATTTAATATTCCAATGTCTTACATATTTCAATTATATTTTTAAATATATTCATTAACCCTGATCCTTACCTTTAAAAAAAAGTCCTATCTGTAAGCTAGGTATATCTCAGTGTTAATATTATGTCTAACACGTGTGAGGGCCTGAATTTTATCCCTAGAACGAGCCCAAAACATATAAACAAGCAAGCAAACAAAAGAATCTGTTTGCTACTTGTAAGAAAGTTTAATACTTTTTAAAAAAATATTTGTACAGGTGGTGGTAAAACAGTTTCAAAGATCTGTTAAAGATATTTTCCTAATACTGAGGGTACAAGAGCTTCAGAGCAAAATCCACAGGAGCCTGGCTGTCCAAACTTCTAATTTCACTTTACAGTGTATGTGACTAAGCCTTAACCTTACACTGTCTTTAACCCATCTTCTCGATCAATACCTTTACTAGGGACTTGCTGAAACAACTTCTTCCCGAAAAATATATTCACTTTTTAGAGCTGACTGTCCCTTAATTCATTTGTGAAACTAAAAATTTAAAGATATTAAAACTTTTCCTCAAGTTAAAAGAAAATCCAACCAGAACTAAAATTAGCAAGGCAAACTGTACACAGACAGGAATGGTTTAATGTGAAGATAGTCACTCAGACAACTCAAGTCTATCAAAGAGCAATATTTCCCATCTGAAACAGTTCAAACTAAAACTGGTCAAAGTTATAACCTAGTACTGGGACTAGTCTTGGCATACAGTTATTGACAGAACTATATAAGCATTTCACTTAAAAACCCAAAACCTGACATCAAAAATAAATCTTACAGAATTTTCACAGATTATTATTAAAATCAGAATAATGTGGAAGTCAACACATAAATTAGAAAATAGGGCGGAATCTTAAAACTTCCCTAGTCATGGACAAATTCTACTGTCCTTCATAGAGCTGATTGAGATTTGCTCTGTAGTTACCAGAAAGACTACTGAAATACTGTATTATTGATGATACTACACAGAGTAGGGGAATCAATAAATGTCTTGAAATAAACATTATGTTTTCAAGCATGAATTTACACTGATTCATAATCTTTGACTTACCAATGCAACAGAGCTCTGTCAGCTGTTAAGACAGGCAGTTAATTTAAAACAAATGAAAAATTAAGGCATCAATAGCCACAGGAATTTCAGCCTCAAGTTTGGGAGAGAACAGGTTAGCCTACTAGTATAGTAGGTAAGGTATAAGTCAGGCATGGTAGGGCACACCTGTAATTTTACCACTTGGGAGTTGGAGGCAGAAGGATTGGGAGTTCAAGGCCTGGCTCAGCTACCTTAGCCAGCCTGAGCTACATACGACCATCTCAAAAAAGCTAAAAACATACACCAAAACAAACCAATTTTTAACAGAATATATAAAACAAAGATGTGGTTGTCTTACCTGCACTAAATAACAATGGACTCATCTTGACAGGTCATTTAAAAAAAAAAAAAAAAAAAAAGAGGACACAAAATTGGGGGTGAGGGTGGGATTGTGGGGGTGGATCATGGAGGAATGTATGGGGGTGAGTCTGATCAAAATATATTGTATAAAATTTTCAAAGAGTTAATATAAAGACTTTTTTTTTTAAAGAATGAACTCTGGCTGGAGAGATGGCTCGGCAGTTAAGAACACTGACTGCTCCTGAAGAGGAATCGGGTTCAATTCCCAGTATCCACATGGCTGCAAGCAATCCATATCTCCAGTTCCAGGGGATCTGATGCCCTTTTCTGACCTCGGCGGGCATTACACTATACAGGTGCACGTACACACATGTAGGCAATACACTTACACACATAAAATTTTTTAAAAAATTTAAAAAAGAATGAACTCATAAAATCTTGCCTTCAAGTTATCTTCTAGAAATAGAAGGATTCTCTAGGTTCAGTTATTATTAATGAGGTGAGCATAGTAGTACGTATCTGTAATTCCAGCACTTAGGTGGTTGAGGTTGAGGCAGGATAATCACAAGCTAAAGGTCAAAATCCTGTCTTAGAATTCCCTCTCCACTTAGTGACAGATTTCTTGCCTAACTTACACATATGGTACTAGGTTCAAGCCTGTTATTAATAAACACAATGAAATTTATTCTGTGATATTTAGGCTATGCTCTGTACTAAATGAAGTCCATCAATGTCTGGAATATTTTGATTCCCTTAAGGAGATGTTTTCAAAATTTGAGATTTTGGGTAATTCCAAAGTTAGACACAAACTTGAAGTTTTGTAATTAAAAATAAATGCATTCCCAGTTTGCAATCTTTATAGAGTATGAGATGAATTTTCACTCTAATGTTCACTTTAAGTCGTAACTAAGTAACTAAGAATGATTCCACTTTTACAGCCAGGAGTACCCTATGAAAAACTCAAAAGGTCAGCTAAAAATAAGGTCACTTTTCAATGTTATCAGTGAGGTTAACTGTTACCAAGTTGTGATTCTATAGAAATTAACAGGAAAGATAAATGAATAAATCACCTGACAAAAGATTCAAAAAATATTAAGATTATCCATAATTCTAATATAGTTATAACACATTTCATTGTAGCATGTCAATTTAAGCTTCTGTGTGTTGGTTCCCTTACCTGTAATATACGAATAGTTTATACTGGTAACTGTTATCTATTAAGGGATTGACACTGGGCACATAGTATCTATCAGGCACATATGATTAAATGCTGATTATTAGTTATTAAATTATTTTTCTGTTAAGGTTGTCCAGAAAGGTTAAGACAATTAAGTGTCAACAATTGAAACCACCTCAAGGGCAATGGCATTAAAACTGAAGAAATCTGATTGCTTATGACTGACATGAACATATGTATCCCTGCTTTTATTTCATGTATGTAAGCACATGGGTATTTATACAACTTCATCCTCAACTTTTTAAAATATTTATTTTTATTTTGTGTGTATGAGTGTATCGCCTGCATGTATGTTAAGTGCACCCATGTTGTGCAATGCCCATGGAGGATAGAAGACAGCATCAGATTCCCTGGAACTGGAGTTACAGATGATTGTTAGCCACTATGTGGGTGCTAGGATTTAAACCTGGGTCCTCTGCAAGAAACAACCAGTGCTCTTTAATTGTGAGCCAACTCTCCAGCCCTAAACCTCAACCCTTTTAGATTACAAGTATTTGTAATGTTCTAAAAGAACATTAGAATTTTAAAGAATGAGGGTAAAAAAGGATGTGAGATAATGGATAATGAGAACGTAACTTTAGCTAGAGAAAAACCTAGGGCTGTCATTTGATCAGAGTTCATTCTCAGAATCCAAAAGAAAATGACTGAACAACATTTCTATAGCTGTTTCGACATGCTAGAAGGAAAAATAGATTCCTGCAAGTTGTCCTCTGACCTCCACATCTCCCTACCCCTGCAAATATAAATAAATGTAATTTTAAAAAGTATTAGGTCACATTAATTCAGAGTATATATTTATCTATTACACTAAAGAAATGGAAATAGAATGATGTAAAATGTAAAAGTAACGTTTTCTTACTATTAGGCATTTTGAGATCACTGTCAGTGACTTTTATGTATTTAATCAAGTAAAATTTTATCAGAGAGAAAGGAAAATATCTCTTTAGTTTCTTATAGAAAGATCTACAGAAAGGAGGTGATGGGACAGGACAAATGGGTTAAGCTGGGTAATGTATTAAGTTCCAGGCCAGTCTGGGCTATACACATAAGACCATGTCTTCCAAAAGCCAACAAAACAACAACAAAAAGAACCATAGGAAGCTTGGGACTTGTTGAAATTGTCTTAATAGAACTGTCTGAAAGCTGTCATTGAAAAATTATATATAGGGTAGCAGAAATTTCTAAAATCAATATGAAATGAAAGAACTATAATCTGATTCACTCGAAAAATAAATCAGTTTAAAGATTTTTCTAAATTTAAGTATGGCTTTAAAATGTCATTGTGTTGACACCACTAAAAATATAATGTGAAAGACGATGATATATATCTCCTCATAACACAGAAAAAGAAATCACTTATGAAGTAATGTCAACCAGATTCTTTGTTATTAAAATCATGCTTAGTTCCATCAACACAGGGATAGGTCACTTTCATTCCCTGCTGTGTATATAGTACCAAGTACAGAGCTAAACAAGTGTTGGCTGCTAGCTGAAACACCAAAAGAGAATTGGGAGTGCCTAAAGAATTGTACACATGCACACAAGTACGCTTATATAGTTGAACAAAAATGAAAACAAGGTTGCCACAACAGCCAGAAATGCCAGAAAGGTATCATTTAATTAATGAGTGGAACGAGCAAATATCTATTAAATGCTTCCTTTTCTTTACATGCTATATGGATAAAGCCTTAAAGACAAATAAGGGACATTCATGTTGGGGTGGAAGAGATTAGTGAGCATATCATGGAACTAAAACAGTACTTTTCAGAGAGCAGGGTGGATGGGTCGGGAATGTTAGAGAAGAACATGTATTAGAGAAGATTATAAGGACATTCTCTCTCTCTCTCTCTCTCTCTCTCTCTCTCTCTCTCTCGTTTTTTTTTTTAAGTCCTCTTTAGAAACTTGACATTTCAAATGACAATTGAGGGGGAAATGGAGAGAGAGAGAGCTGTCTCTTTAAGAACAAGAAGAGTCCATCCAGATACATGGAAACAGTTTACTTGAACTCTACAGATGGGCTGGGGGGTTTTATAAAAATTTCTCTGTTGTGCTTCTATTTAGCACTGTAATTTGCTTATTTTCAGTGTTAAAAATATGCCTTTCTCATGAAATATTCTAATTTGG